ACAAGTTTACATGAAAACATTTCTGAATTATCATGCTTGAAAAAGCACTGTTCACAAGTGCCTGTTGAAATGCATTTCACTAACTTTGCATAATATATACATTCTCATTGCACCTAATATCTTGATCAGTGAAGACAAAAGGGTGATGCAGGAACATGCACTCATTTTATAGTATTGTTTCACTCATCAACAAGGGCAGAGGACTGTAAGTCGTTTGACCCAGGTAGTGGATCAAACTAGCCTGGCAGTACACTGGCAAACCATTCGCATCAGGTAACTGACAATGAATTTCTTCACCACTCCATAATTTTCCTCATGGCACCAGTTTAGGTTCTTTAGACTTCACTCCTCCCCACTTTCACCCACCATGTTTAACATGTTTCATCTGACTGAGATTACAACTACTTGTTGCTCAGACTAACCAAAATTTTGTGCAACACACTGCCTGGGTGACAAAATTCAAAGTGAAATATCTTTTATTTGCGATCAACTGTTCCATGCAGATGTGAAGACAGCATCAGTTGAGTGACATCTATTGCACTTCATTTTATACCACATTACTAGACAACACTGTTTACCCTCTAAATAACAAGTTGAATTTTGTCATAACCTCATCATTTGAGTAGTCAACACTCCAGTTGCATTGCAAATAACAAACAAACATTTTCAAACATAGAAAACACAAATACGAACACTCTGTGTAGCTTTGCTACATTTTGTGATGGCAAAGACAGTTATATAGGTTCAAAGATAAAATGGTTAAAGGTTAAGCAATTCCTTAACAATACACAAAATAGTTTTACCTATGAACAATTGGAATTGCATTAAATCAGCTTACACCAGCTTTAATCTGTTCATAAAAAGTACTTTTTTAAATGAATGGCTTTGTATGAAAAGGAAGACATACAGGTAATAAAGAAAAGATTGGATATGGTCTCTTCTTCTGGCACACTCTACCTGAAACAGCAGCCAAGTTCTTTCAATAAAGAACTCTCCGCTCTTGCACCCAAGGAGTATGAGGTCACTGCAAATCCTGTTTCAAGACATAAACCAAAATTAAATATGGTACACAGTGGTGGTCAGAGAGAAGGGAAAAAGAACAGGAAACTTAAATGGTTAGACATCATCAGAATACAAGACTTGCTTTATTAATGTTAAATTAGGTGTGGCAATACTTACTTTGACCTAAACACTCCAGACTGTTTAATTTCATCCAAAAGGCTGAAAGCCCTAAATGAAAAGAGTGTCAAAAAGCACAGAAAGCACAGTGGTGACTTCATTGTACAGTACAGACATCTCTTACATAGGATGAATGATAACAGACACCAAAGCAGCTGTTTAATTCTCAGTTCAGTTTGAAAATGTTTTATCATTTTTCCAGAGAAAGGGTAGAAAAAAAAATCAGAAACATTGCTAAGAGCAATATGAAATGGGGAGACATTGAACCCACTCTTGGCAGGTGACTGACAACAACAGACTGGCCAACAAAGAGGATATTTATCAAAGCCATACTGAAAACCTTGAATAGTGTTATTTGCAATGACTGACTGCAACAATGGCAATGACACAAGTGTACAAAAACAGTGTACTGCACATGCAGAGTTCTCATACTGGCATTCCTAAAGGAACATAACACCTTAAACAAAACCATTTCAGCTATTTTAAAAACAACCATTACCACTCAGGGTCTTTAACTGATGCCTGTACCAAATCCAGAAAAACATCATAGGTTGGTGCATGAGAATCCTTCTTCATCACTTCAAGCATCTCATAAGCCCTAGTTTTAGATAAAAAAGAACTGTTCAGATCATTTTGTGTGAACTCTTTATTAAGTTATTATTGTGTTAAGGTAAAACAAAAGGTGAAAAAGGCACCTCTATTAGTCAGACGACTGGGCTGCTCCAAAAGGTCTCATCATAAACAAAATAAACTACATTTAATTCAACAGTATCAGACAACCAAGAAGATGGGTCACTGATAGTAGAAGCATGCAAAGAAAGTTCAGGCCAGTAGCCAGGGCTGGTGGATTTTGCTACTGGGCAAGTGAACTCTGTTCTTAAATTGACCAACAGGAAAGTTAAGTATTTTGAAGGGAATTCAAACAACATCCAATTTTTTTCTGGGCTAGTTGAAATCAAATTTGTTGGCCAGCCTCTGCTAGCTACAGCTTGTTCAAATGGCATTCTGTAAAATCAACTTTCTTTGCACTCTGTATAGTTTTACAAACACCTTAAAACACAGCTACTGATGTCCTTACTAATTATCTTATTACTTCTACCCACCATCCACCTGTCCTGGCAGGAACAAACAAATACAGTGGAACCTCGATATAACAAAGGGAAGGGACTGGCAAAATTTGTTTGCTATATCAAGGTTTGGTTAAATCAAGGTTCTTTTTCATATATTTTTCTATTACTGGGGTAAAGAAAGGCGTTTGTTTTACCGAGGACTTTGAGGTTTGATATATTGAGGTTCCACTGTACAATGCTGAGTACCATCATATACTGTTAACTACAACAAGAAAGTCATTTCACACTGTTTCCCTCTTTGTAAAGGGTATGAACAGTGGGTAAAACCCGAAGATGAGCCCCATACAAGCTTTATACTAGGGACAATGGTAGTGTGGATAAACTATGATTCAAGACATAAAACAATTCAAAACCTGATGTACTGTCCAGAGTGACACAATGTCTTGATCAGGGTTTCATAGTTGTGACGATTGTGATGAACCACCATACCACCAATCATGTCAAATGCATTGTGAGCAACCTGAAATGACAGATAACAATGGTAATGAAGTTACTCATTTATTTATTGATTTACTTAATGCATAAAAAAGTACATGTTATGATACATTACACTGTAAAATATCCAGAAAAAAAAGAGACAAAGTGGCAAGGAGACCTGAAAGAAACTAGAAAGCTTGATGGATTGATAGATCAAGGGAGCAAAAAAATGCAATTAAGTCTATGATGGAAGAGACAGCTTAAAAACTACTTATAAATCTGCCCTTAAGTACTTTCATAAAGGCATGGGAAAGTGCTTTGTTGATGCAATACTAACTAACATCCGAGTCTTTGGCTATATATAAAAGAAGTACACCTCCAGATACAAGGGAAAAAATTAACAGTCGATGTTTTCACTTGCACTAAGTGAGTACCATCGTACTAAGTGAAAACCAGTACCATTAACAAGGTCAGAAGAGCACCTGGACTTATGAACCATTCTGTGCCATGACCTTTTGTAGTTGCCTACCTGCGCAGCAACATCTGGGTCTTGTAAGTGTTTACTGCATAATGTGAGGACATGTTGAAGAACACTCAAATCAGGCGGGTGATTCATACTGCGAAGTTTCTCAATCATTTGCCAAGCAGCACCTATAGACAGAAAAGCACGGCCCATATTTCTCTCAAGATCAAAATGCACTTTTTCTAAGTTCTCAAATTTTCACAATGCAATTTGCCAGCCTGGACTGGGGTCAATTTGCTGGGAAAATCATAGGGCAAACACAAGAAAAAAAGGTGACTGTATTGTGATGAGTGGTTAAGTTAGAGAACAGGTGAGCTTGTTAATGGCAATAGATTAACAATTTGTGCCTGGCTAAGAATTATTAAAAAGCAGCTGACGAAAAAGTTAAAGGGCAGAGGTTTTATTATTATACAGCAATTATTAATGGACGAGGCCGAGTATGATCTGAAGAAATATGGAGGTTGAGGAGGGTACCATCCACTGCGGCCAATTAACTTGAGGTGGATAGCACCGTCTAAGATGTCAATAATTCCTCACGTCACACAAAAGCCCAATCCAATAATTGTGTTAACGTTCATTCAAAAACTTGATTAAGAACAAGCTAAAACATTATTTGTCGGTTTTCTGGTAAGGTCAAGAGAAAAAGGGGTGTTTAGTTCTGCAGATATTCTCCAAATAGCAGATGTTGTCTGTTGAGTTGTATTCTTGGTGCTCTTCCTATGTTTCTGGGCAGAAGTATGGCTATTTCTTCTTCACAAAACATGTAAAATGTACCATCGTTTTGTAATGCTCTACCAAAACAACAGAACCTCGTTCCCACGGTTTCTCAGTTACCATCCATTTTTCGGTTAGTAATGCTGTTCTATTGATGTCATTATTTACATATAACTAATGCCTTCAAATCTTGGTCAGGGCTAGGTGCTTATGAAGAATTTGCCTTGGGATTTGAACCAATCAGAAACAGAAATATTTTGAATAAATATTTTTATTAATACTGTCTTGTTATGACTTTCTACAGATCTCATTAGTTGAAGAAAGATGTTGAGAACTCTGGAAGCATATTATGGCTTGGAACCATTTTCAACAAGCTTAGTAGGCTTTGTAAAACTAGCTATGCCTGTCTAAAAAAACTGGACATCTATTCAGTACCTATTTACCTGTTAACACGGTTCATACAACTTTAGACAAACTAAATTTCAAGGACAAATAAATTACAGTTTTCAAGGACTGACATTTATTTCATAAATTGGCATTCTTTAACCCCCTATGATCACCGTATTGGCTAAAACACGTCATGGAGTCATTCATGATTTTTAGTTCTTCGGCCACTGTTGATCACATAATTTTATACAATTTCCACAAAACTTTGCAAAATGACTTGGTATGACTTGCAACTGCATCTGAGGTACAGAAACGGCATTTAAAATAAAGAAACAGAAATAAAATATTGTTCATGCGCAAAAATGTTTTTACATTACCAGTGAGTTTTACAAGTTCTTACACTGAGGATAAGCCAAATTTTCCTCGGCAAAATAATCTAATTTTACAGAGAAAGGTATCTGGCATAGATGAGGTTGTGAATTTCAAGGACTTTTTGAGACCTAATAAAGAAATCAAGTACTTTTCAAGGACCTAAACCGAATACAAGTACTTTTCAGGACGACTAGTAAAATTCAAGACCTTTTAAAGATTGCACGAACCATGTGTTAGGAGACAATACTGCTTACTAATTCTATCAAAAATCTTACCCAGATTTCCATTTTGCAATAGTTCATTGACCAAGTCATATGACACATCGGGAATGTCCACTAAAAAAAGTGATTGCAAAAATTATGTTACACTTACTTCACCTTAATAAACAGCACTTAACTGACAGCACATATGGTATCAATCAAACTGGCCCCAGCTGTTCACAAAGTGGATAACACTATCCACCAAATAAATCACTATCCAATGGAGAAAACATTAGGAAAACCAACTGCATTGTAGCCCAGATCCCATGGATAGCATTACCCACCTTAAACAATCGGGACCTGGTATATGAGCCAAAAACATGGCTCAGAGTTCTTTTAAGCAGAATAAGGCACTTGTTAGATTGCACTACACGTATTTTAACATTTTTGCATGTATAAAGATTAAAATTTACTTGCCTTGAAATATTTCTTAGCTTATTTGGGCTTTACGGTAAAGACTACCATAATTATTTGAAAGTTTTTCCAACAACAAAAGTTAAAATTTCAACAAAATTCCCAACTTCAAGCCTGCATTTGTGAAAAAAACTCGGCTGACTAAGTAGAGAACATCATACCAGCTGGTCAGCAGGTTCTCTGTTCCTAAACTAGTTCAATTTGTCCAAGAACCAATGATTCATTAAACAGAAGTTATTGTTAGACCTTATCGTATCAGTGCTGTACCTTTGATTTGTTGCTGCACAGAAGCTGGCTCAACAACAGCTAGATGGTCTTGGCTGAAAACAAACACATATGAATTACTACTATCTTAATACAGTAACATGTAACAAAGACATACATGTAATGTTTACACGTAAGAAGATCTCTCTTCTTTGCACAGATCAAATGTACTTGCTGTATTTATATGCACCAGGCAACTTGAAATCTCAGTGATAGCCCTGGTTGTGTCAGAGAAAGCCTCACTTCAAAATAATACATAAAATTTATAGCAGAAATGAATTTGCATGTGCAGCTTCTATTAAATACAAAACTTTAATTTATTCATGTTTTTGCAATATTTTGCATTGTATCACCAGGGTTCTCAATAGATTTTTAAGCAGGAGGTGATCACTGATTAAGTAGGAGGCTCTTCAGCAAAGCCAGAGGTGTCAAAACAAAGCAAAGAAAAGCGACTTAAACACAAAGTAAGCGGCTATAAATCCCAAAGTAAGCGGCGATCAATCGCCGGGTGCCGCCTTCTATTGAGAACCCTGTATCACTTATTGGTATAAATGTGACAATCAAAGTTGCTTTTGTTGTTGGTACATTTGAATAACAAAAATAATGTACCATTTAAGCAATAGATTAAATGTTTTCCATGTTTGCATAGCCTGATATAAGCACGAGAGCGGTTGGGAGAATTCAAGACTTGGGTTTGCATAACTGTTGAGAATTCTCCCAACCCCTCGAGTGTTTATATCAGGACATGGAAACACAAGAAAAAAGTTTTCTATTGCTTTTATAAAATAACTTTCCCGAGAAAAAAAGCAAACCTCTCTTGTTTAGAGCACTGATTAAAAGAGAAATTCTTACCACTCTTGTACACAAAGCTTGTATGAATAATCAGTCCTTGTTTTGCAAAAAAAAAGCTTGCCAAAATATGGGTTTTTCTCACATGTTTCTTTCTCTTTTTCAGCCGACGAGGAAATGGGTAAATAAAGTAAACATGTTGAGTTTTTTAACTCAAAACCTTTTTTAAATTTGTGCTTGGGTGATTAGCGCACGAAAAGCAACAACATCTTGACGTTACAACCATGTTTACATACTCTCATGCAAACACTCCTCTCGGCCAATCACAGCGAGCGTACTTCCTTAGTTATTTTATAATTAACAATTATTCCTCGAGCCCGAGTGGGCTATTGACTCAGAAGCCATGAGGGCCAGAGGAATAATTGTTTTAACAAAATCCAACTAGTTGGTCAAAAATATCGACAATAAAAAACATTTAGCTAGTTAAAGCTAAATTCTAATCCTTTTTTGCCACCAAAAAGCCCGCGCTTTTCGCTACTAGTGGGCTATAACATATAGCATAGTAGTAGCTCAATCAGCAACCAATCAGTAGTAGCTCAATCAGTAACCAATCAGAATGCAGCATTGATAATAGACCACTAGTTGGATTTTACTAATATGAAATATCGCTTTATATAATGTTACTTGAGTAAAGTAACATGCACATATTTGAGTTTCATTTAATCATCATACAAGCTTTACATCTTAAGAATAGAGAGGTGTAGCCTGGATACCTGTTAACATGTCCCAGTTGACGCAATTTTTGGTGCTGAAAAATAAGAGGACAAAAAGGGTCATTTTACAAGTTTGATTTATGAGTCCATCAATCCAAAATAGGCTTGACACATTTATTACCTACCTCCTCAAGTTCTTGTTTTGGCAAATGCCAGGGTTTGCTCAAATAGCTCCCTGTCTGAAACTGTTCGGGGTATAACTGCTTGGGACTTCTATTCTGCATTCTTGGCTGAGGTATTCCTTCTGGGCTTGTTGCAACCACAATCTTACCTCCATGTGGCACTTCTTCAGCATGAAATGGACTTCTCCTTTTATTTGATGACAACTGCATCTCTACATTACTGTCTGAATGAGGAGAACGATGGGTTAGCGTTGAATCAATTATTGGTCTACTGCTGTGGCCATATTCAAAACTTTCTTTTGCAGTGGCTGTGTTCTTGCTTCTCGGTGACACAGCAGTATTTTGTTCATCTTTGGTTGATGTAAAACCTCTCACAGCATTTGCTTGGCTTTCTTGACCTTGTTTATATGTTTTCTGTAACCACTTAGGAATATCTCTGCCCTTGTTGTCATTTTGCTGAGACGATACCTGTGCAGGTTGAGTAACTGTTGAAATACTTGACTGCTTAGAGACACTTGAAGGCTTCGGCTGAGTGTTATGAGTTCTTCTTGCTGAATGCCGGCCACTGTTCCTGATGTCGTTTGGAACATTCTGAGCCCCACGCAAAACACTAGTATGCTTCTTGCTTTGATCAAAGTTTGTTATAATTTCTCCCGGTACTGGAGGAGGGTTTGTCAGCATTTCCACTTGAGTTTTTAAATTATTCACAATGTTAGCCTCTAAAGCTCTTTGTATCTGGGACACTAAACCCATATTGGCAGGACTAGGAAGTGGCAGGAGACCACCACCATGTCCCAAAAGGGACGGCAATGGAGGTATTGTATTAGGAAAAACATTAGGAACATTCCCTTTCCTTGGAGCTTGTCTTGATCCATGACTACCTTTACCCCTCATGGGAACAGAACCTCTAAACCGAGCTCTGCCCTTTCTCCTGTCAACAAAATGTCTTGAGTCTCTCGGTCCGTGCCTATTATCTCGTTCTCTACTTAACCTTTTATGAGAAGAGTTTCTAGAATCTCTTTCTCTGTTTTCTGACCTTTTCAGCAGACTTTCATCTTGCTCTGAGGACTCAGACATGCCCTGCCTTTCATCCTTTACTTCATTACCTTCAGGTTCGCCAACTGTTATGTTGATCATTTTAGTGGAGTTTCCTTTCTGTCTATCAGTAATTTGACTCCTTAAATCTTTTGATTGACTGCCTGATCTTCTTCCTAATGTCCTGGAATTTGATGACCTGATGGCAGAATGGTAAAGGAAAATTTTTAACATTTGTAACTGCTTTTGGTTATAGAATTTACGATCATTGTCTCACAGTGTCAGTAAAAAAATAAGAATAAATTGCTCGAAAAATAAATGGATAGCTACCAGCCCTTGGGAACCTGCACATTGTGCATTTAACTTAAAACCTGTGCATGTAACACGTGCATTGTAAATGAAAGCCTGTTACATGTTGGCTGCAAAGAAAAAATCAGCAAAAACAAAATGAGAAAAAAAATCCTTGCCAATACCAATAGGCCATTTGCAAATACTCATTCCCATGGTACAAAACTGCCATACTAGAGATGCACTGGGAGTAGACAAACAAAGGAAATTACCATTTTAAAATTAACGATGTGAGCCATTTGTTTGTCTCCTACCTGCGTGCGCCTTGCTCTCCTGCGTGGCAAGTTTGTACCAAATGAATGACAAACTACAAAGCGCCTAATCAGAACTAAAATGGCCAAACAGGTTTGGGAGACACATGGTACTGTTGTCAAAAAAACACATAACCATGTGATGAAGTAAACTAACCTGGGCTCATCCTCCTCATCAAACATTGAATCATCAGGATGAAGGGAGATCTCATCATCCTCTGGCTCATCACTTGTATAGGAACTGAAATTGGAGTTAAGAGACTGTTTCAAGGAAGAATCTCCCTCCATCTCTATTTCTTCATCCTCTTTTAGCAGAAAATCTTCATCATAATCTTCAACGGAGTCACTTTCCTCCTCATCATCAACATAATCAAAATCTTGTTCAGCCAATTTGCTGTCAAAATCCATCCGCACCTCACGAGTTTCCATTTCATGTTCCTCCACTTGTGATAGACTAAATGAAAGGGCAAACATGGGAAGACCGATTCAGATTATATCTCAGATACATAACAAATCAGGTTACCAAATCTCACAGAGAAATTTTGACTTTTAAGACTGACATTCTATCTCAAATTTATTTACCTCTCAAATTCATGCAATTTCAGTAGAACTCAAACTCTGACTACAGCAAACTGCTGCTAACAGAAAATGTTTTATCAAAAAATGCATAATCACATTACTGTTTCTGATGAAACAACTTAATTGGCACCGTACTATATACCGAGGTGCTGAAAAATTAGTAACTGTCAATTATAAACATGACAAATTGAATATTCAATCAATGCGAATGACTGGAATCCCAGCTAGCTCAAATGTTTTTGGTTTCCCTATAGAGTTCGAGTTAGCGCGGTTCTACTGTAGATTTTATGGTCGTTATGGCTAGAAAGGTGACTGTTTAGAACTTCAACAAGCTAGTAAACTGGCATCAAAAAACACTTTCATACAAGCGAAAGTATCAAAGGTGGGTTCTTGGGGTGCGATACATTGATGCAAGGAAGGGTTATTTGAAAGATAAGAAATACAGATTTCACTTTAAACATACCTTGAGACCGTTGCAACTTGGGATTTGGCATGCAATATCTTGCAGTTGGCTGATGATTGGGCTGGTAATGGTTTAAGAGGAATGGAAAAGTCCCTTAGCTTTGGTTTTGCTGTACTTGAACCAGGTACACTTGCTGAGGAAGTTAGCTCTGCAGATAATAGAAATAATTAATAATAATAAGACAATAATTATTCTACAATATAGTATAATTTTTAAAAGAAATTTGAAAAGGTTTTTATGTAATCCTTCTTTACAGGGCTCGATGTTGCACCAATGTGACCAGCTTTTACTCAGTGGCGACTAAATTTTCATGCCTGGTAACCAACCTGGCCCCCAAGATAGGTAACTTTCTTCTTTAGGAAAACATACACTAATGATAATTTGTTATCCTTTACAAAACTAACGGATAGCTAACAGTTTTTCTAACGCTCTAACATTTTGCCCAAACGCTCTAACGGTTTGTCTAAACATTTTAACAATAATCGAGCCTAGCGCAAAAACTGTTTGAAAGAAAGTTCAAAAGAAGTCTAAAACTTCTTTTTCTGTTAAGGCTAAGTAAAAGATGTTAAGTTTATTTTATTCCATTAGTTCTTAAATATAATTTTTGGCGACTAGAAGGTTAAGATTAGGTTAGGCAAGCCACAGTGTTGCACTGACTGCAGCCATAAAGGGCAGGGGGGCATAAGAAGGATACGAATACCACTACACTGCACAGAATAACATGAGAAAATCGCAAACCGCATTGAAATCAACCAAAAATTTCTAAATACCACAAACTGCTTAGTTTTTTAAAACAGCAATACAGCAACTTAAAATAAAACTTTCTGCAAAACCACACCAAGAATCAAGCAAAACCTCATCTCTGCAAACCCTTACAAACCCCTCCATGAACAATTTCCAGTTTTTATTTTCGTATAACCTCGGCTGCTGCCTAACGGGAGCCCGGGCGCCTACGATTTACCCTCGGACAGCCAAAATTTCAAACAGGGAGCCCGAACAGGTGCCTTAAACTTATGATTCTCAGACTAACTTTTGAAACGCTCACAAAAATATTCCAGGTTTTGAAAATGATTCACAGCGGCTATTCAAGATCGTGTTTCAATCTCTTGTTAATTTCACCGTCACGTGTACTCACGTAAATACAAACCTTCACAAATATAAAAACAGTTGCGACACTTCAAAACATAGACTTGATACAAAACTACTGAGTCAATTTTCCTAACCTCCAGATAAAAACCTTTCATTGGTCCTTTTTTATCACCTAAAAACTTAAACTTAACTTTGTTTAAATTCTACACGCAAGTGCTGTTGGTCGGTGTGTTCGCTGTATGTGCAAATGGTTGTTGTTATGTTTCTCAAGAAATAAATCATTTCTCAAAATCCTTTTAAGTGATGAATATGAAAAATGCTTGTTTCTCGAAACTCGATTTGTTTAAGGCTCAAGTATTGTTCCAGTTTTTTTCTCGTCACGCAACGCTCCTTAAGCCTTCCTGACTTATCTAGGAAGATATTGAATAAATATTGATAAACATTAACTTCTTCAAAGATAGATCTTTTGAGTAATACCTCATTTTGGATATTCTGACCAATCCTGTCACAGTTACACTCACTAAAAAAAGGTAACATTTTGCGGAAAAGTCCACTGCCAATTTCGCTATTTACATACTACTCTTTGACGATTAAATTTACCCCTTTCCTATAAAGTTAGCCAGCCACAATTCCATCCAAAAGAAGAACAATACAATGGGGCAACAACACTGCTAATAAACAAGAAAGGCAAAGGAAAAAAGAGAGCAAGAGAGAAAGATTCAAATAGATTCGCAAAAAAAGGTCCAAATTTTGGTTTTTGCGCAAAAAAAAAAGCTGTTTAATTATGTCCGATTAGTCGAAAAATATGCCTTTTTTCTTGCCAAACCTATTCTAGCCATTCTTATGCTAATTAGCCAAAAACTAGTCTAAAGAAGAAGAATTGGTGAAAAATGTGGTTTTTTCACTACTCGCTGGCCGTCACCAAAGGGTTAATAAAGTTACCGACCTTTTTAAAATGCGGCTCAGGCTCCTAACTTATTATTTTAGGAGCCCAAAGGGTTCCCACAAAATTTTCTCCAGGCAGCGCCTTGACAACCCCATACGTTTATTATCCATGCTTGTTTCGACTCTACTCATGTTAACTATTTGTGGAAAAATACTATGAAATTGCTGCATGCATAATACATGTATGGGGTTGTACAGAAATCTTACCCAGTTTCCTCTTACAGCAATACGACTAAATAAAAATATAGTTACTGCCCACACAGACTACCTATTTCTGACATGAGCAGTGTTCTCCCTAAATTTTAGCTCAGCAGGTAAGGGACCATCAGTGTTCTCACCAGGATTTTGCCTTGGGGAGTCCCAGGGCCCCCTCTTCTGAGAAATAGGGGCCCTGTAAGAACATTAGGGGGACAAAGTTACAAAAAACATGCGGTACAAAGAACCTGAGCCCGCACTCCAAATTGTCTGTTACATGAAGTACCTACCTGATCCAATATGGCGGAAGAGGTGTTTACGATTCGGAGGAGGAGTTTACGATGTAGTGGGACGTGCGTGGGACCAATGAAAGTAAAGGCAACAAAATTAAAGACTTTGACTCATTTGATATCATGTTTTTTATTTTTTCAAACAAACAGAATGCTTTAGTGTTAGGTTGACCATTAAAACTACTAAAGTCCGTTTGACTCGTAGCTTGCCCCTGCGCCCTAACGGGCGCATCTTCTTGGTTTTAATGCGCCATTTCAGTTTTTCTTGCGGGAATCCCGCAAGGCCGCTGCCTGGTGAGAACACTGGACCATTCATGGACGGTGAGGCAAAAAATATATACTTTTCTAAGATGGGGGGAGGGGGGGCAGTGGAGTGAGGGACATGGACCCGCCCTCACTGGGAAATTTTTTATTCCCATATTTTAAGACCTATTTTACGCAAATCTCCTGTCGTTATCTTTAGACAACAAATCAAAACGTTTGATTCCAATAATTTTACTGTCTTTAATGTCCTCTTTCCAAAACGCATGTCCCTAAAAAGGAAAGCTGCATATACAGTACTAGTACAGAACCAAAATTATGCATGCGCAAAAAGTGGCGTAAGAAGTTGCTGCGCCGCAAGAACATGCAAGCCACCGCAAGAAGTGAAAGTGCCGTATTTTTGCGGACCCTTTGTGGTTTACCCGCAAGAACTTTGAAACGAAAGAAGTCAAAAATCTTCACCGCAAGAAGCTAGAAAATCACCGTAAGCCCAGGGTGCAAAGAAAGTCATTTTTACAGCTTGCCGTTCGGGCAAGCTGAAGCTAGCATTTACTAGCCCAGGTGTCACTTCAACTACCCCCAGACGCTCTTTGACCAGCAGAATTGATTTCATAGTTCTTCTATTATTCGAACTGCTCAAAAAACCTCACTTGCCCGTCGGGCAAGTTAACAACAGAATTCACTAGCCTGATAGCAAAATCCACTAGCCCCGGGCTATCGGACACTACTTTCTTTGCACGCTGGTAAGCCTCAAGAAGGCTCATGAAGTTCTTTACAAGTGTTAACCTGAAAGAAGTTTGTAGTGTTTGTCACCTTTTTGTTGCAACACCGTTTTGTAGCGTTGATACTAATTCACTCTGCGGCAGCAAAAGGTAATCATGAAAGGCCACACGTAAAAAATTGCCTGGGAAAGCGAACAGCTTTCTCTGCTTTTTCTGCGAAGTGAACACTTCAATCGTTCAGCTTTTCCAAAGTTAGATAACGCGTGTGAGGCGTTTGTTTAACAAAACGATCTGTAGTTTCGAACATTTCGATTAATTGGATCATTTCATGGTACAATATTGTAGTCTCGGCAAAACAAACCAAAGGCGTTGAATTTCTGCCCACAAGAAAACATGGGAATTATTATTACTTTATTGCGCTAATTTGAAAGAGCCTTTTACTTTTACTTTTACTTTATTAATCCGCAAAGGCGGTAACCATCGCGCGGATATAGTGAAAATATTCCTTACTTTACTTTAGCATGTTTTTTTTTTCCGAGAGTGCTTTAAGTTGACACAGTTGCACGTGCGGTCTCAAATTACACGGCTCTTTTGCGAAACATACTACGATCGTTCCTTATTTTTTGAAGCGCTGCTTTTCTTTATCAAAATTGCACACATTTCCTCGCTTAAAGGATTACCTTTGCACAAGATAATTTTAAGAAATTCTTGTGGTTAAATTTATAACCGCAAAAGAAGTTCTTGCGTCTTGCTGGATTCAAGCGCAAGCGCCCTGCAAAAAGCCGCATGAAGTTGCCAGCTTGCGGACGCCAAAAGAAGTTCCTGCACGTACATTATTTTTGGGCTGTACGTTTTGTACTTAGGTAGCTATACTTTTCCATATATTCTTTCATTTTCTTGTGAGGATTGGATCGGATCACATTTTACATATATTTTTTTTTTAATTATTTAATTTTGGTAAACCTTTAAGCAGTTGCAGGCGGTAAGAAGTGTTGCTTCAGGCGGTAAATTTTACCGGTTACCGCCTGATAAGGAGAACACTGCATGAGATCTCAACTTACAATTATCGGTTTAGACAGGGTTCATACAAAAAATTGCAACCATTTTTCAAAGACGTTTCAAGGACCACATTAGATTTTCAAAGACCACCTACATGTACCAGGAATATAATTTCACAGACTGTACAAAAATACACATTCCCAGTGTATTCTAATAGGACTTTAAGGCTTGAACTGTTTGCTTCACCAAATTCTCTACATTTTTCAGTTCACTTGTCTTAAACTGACAGTTATTTATTGCATAAAACATAGGCCACTAAGTATGTAAATAACCTTTAAATTCTCTGAGCTATGATTTATATTCTGTCTTGGACAACCAAAAAGCATCAAAAAATTCTTTCCAGGCCACTACATTCAAAGTTGAAGAAAATTCAAGGTCTTTTCAAGGACTTACACAGAAATTTAAGGACTTTTCAAGTAAAAATGGAATTCAAGGACTTTTCAAGGACTTTCCCTAAAATACAAGGACTTTTCAAGACTGTGTTCACCTGTTTTGTTAACCCTTTCAAATGGGTGAGTAAGCCATTTGCCCGGTCGTGTTAGCCGTTCAAAATACCTTCACAACCCATTCAGCTGTTCGATGAAGCCATTCAAACAGGTGAAAAAGCAGTTCCCCCGCTCATGTTAGCCATTTGGAATACTTCATAACCCGTTCAGCTGTTCGATGAACCCATTCAAAAGGGTGAGTGAGCTGTTTGCAACCCTGGGGGGGGGTACTCCCATACATTACCTATACGGGTATGTGCCACCCAACGAGGTCGTGATTTTGAAGCTCCTGATTTAGAACGGGGTATAAAAAATTGTGGATCACGGCTTTATCTTCTGCTTAAAATTGCTGCTGATTAGGAAGAAGCATTTATTTGATGTATAAGTCGAACAAATAAAGAAATAACTTTTTAAAAAAACAGGGCTATTTCAATTTACAAACTTTCTAGAACGGAGTATAAAAAAATTGGCCCATTTCTAGAACGGGGTATCAGTTTTAGGGTGAGTTCTAGAACGGGGCATAAAAAATTGGCCTATTTCTAGAACGGGGTATCCATTTTAAGGGAAACTTTTTTTAGAACAGGGTGCCAATTTAGAGTTCAGGGCGGCACATACCCACCCAAAAAATACCGAAGTGCCCCCCCCCCCCGGTTTGCAACCCATTCGGAAGCCGTGCATTTCACCCGTTTAACGGAAAGCCGTTAGCGTACATTTATCTCAAATTTCATTTTATAGATTTTTGTGAAATTTCGCACAACAGAAGACAAGTACCCAAAGCATAGGTGGCATAAAGCATTTCCAAAGAAAATGCAGATGACGGCAATAATTCGATTTAGAGCTAAAACTATTGTGACATTATTTTCATGTGATATTTATTATGATTGCCCAAAAATTAGTATCATCATAAAGTTTAGTCTATGTTTAATACATGTGTTATGTTTTTACAATAAAGATCAATTTGTCTAAGTATAAGAGATTCAAAGATGGAAGGTGTACCTACAAAAATACTGGGCCGAGCCATCTTAACGGGTTAAACCACTGCATCGCACAGATAGCAACCCATAGGCCCCACCCATTGGGGTCTTGTTTGTAGTAAAGAGAAGACCGGCATGGCGAAAAAACAATGTACCATAGAAACCTTGGCGGGGAGACTGGGCCAATTAAAAAAAAAAGAAGAAGCTTTTAATGCATTGTGCTAGTGGACAACGAGTAGATTGGTTCATAAACTAAAATATAAAGCTGCTTTTTTCCACAGAACAGGTTTTAATTTTCTTCTTAGCTCCTGAGTTCCTGTTGTCTAGAGCTAGAGCAAACGTGGGACGCGGACGCAGCCTAACCATCCAAACAGCGTGACGACAGGAGCATACATTTAGATAGTCGGTTCTCATGACTTATTTTCGATCTAGAAGGGGTTCAAAATGCCCGATAAATTCTTTGCTTTCTATATAATTAAGGTTTTAACCCTATTAAATACTTACTGGAGCCATTAACATCATTCTCGGCACTATCTGCAGCATTGCCATTTGCGATCTGGGAAGCAGGATCAGGCAATGAAGGGATGGACAAGCGCGAAAGCACAGCCGATTCTTTCCTCAATTCTTTCTCACGCTTAATTTCCTCAAGTGATTTGACTGTCACTTTTTCCAAATCCGTAGATTCTAGGATAGAAGCTGCTTTCAGTAAAAGGAACAATTCGAATTTGTTTAACAAGGTAAACATATCTTAAGCTTACCAGTTTTATTTTGGCTGATTCGAACGATCTTTCGTGGTTGGGTAGAACTCACAGGCGGTTTGAGGCGAGATTCTTTGCTTTCATCGTTCGGTAAGGTTACCATCAAGTCTGTCTTTTGAAAAGTTTTTCTTTGCCCTCTTCCTCGACTACGAGGTGCTCCCTTTTTACCGCCTCGTAACCTCTGTTCTACCTTCATGCTACAGACAAGATGGAGCCCTTTCACACATTCGCAATTCCATGTGACCAGAGCAGTTGCGCGGCCCAATGACCCATTTTCCGCGCGAACCGACTTTGTCCTTATTCGGTAGTAAACAAAAGCAGCTGCAGGTTCGGAAATTTGCGGTACCGTACGACGAAATCTTCGGTTATTTCGTTCCAGACTCCTGTCGATTTCTCATATCTACGACTTGTTTTTCTTTCCCGGTTGTAGAGGAAAAGATGCAAGAACTCATGATTTGAAATGAGCTGGTAAGTACAACGTACATGTAGTAAAACGAGATTATATCTCCATAATGAGTGACAATTTTTTTTTCAAGTTAATGTTTTTATTTATATGTACTACATCTGATCCTGATTCAGTTGTACACTAACGTTTTATAAACACAGCTGATCATTACTACAAAGTCGTTTCGATACGAACTCAAGCAGTAAAGCTGCACAAAAATTTCGTGCACTTTAGGTATCGTTTACTTGTGAACAAGGAGAACATTTTGGGTGATCGAATACAGTAAAACCCCGGGACTAAGGACCTGGATTTTATGATTACAAACCTGTTACCTGCTAGTTAAGCCCCCTCTATAATAACCTGTTTAGTCTAAAAGGTGAAACCTTTTATTTTCTAAAATTTATGAAAAAATTCTGCACATTAGGGAAAATAAGATAATAATAAGTCAACATTCAGAATCCTCTTTGGAGACATAGGTAGACATAGCTGCAACATAATGTAAAAGCCAATTATGTTTAAATCAAATAAAATTGTCATTGATACAATTACAAATCAAATAAGTTTTTCTTTTTCTGTTCGTTTTACCATAACTTCTAATTTGGTATGCAGATATTATAAGCTGAACCACTAAAATACTCCTACCCACATTGTATTTTTTTCCTCAGAAAATATGAAACTTGTAACTAGCTTAAATTTGCGCTAACTATCATTTATATAAGAACCTGTTTAGGCTAACTTGGAAAAATCCAGGTTCTTAGTCTTGGGGTTTTATTGTATTCTTGGTTCTTTAAGCCAAGTACATGGAACTGTTTCATGTCACCCGAATTTTATCAGGTGAAGTGCGCAGAGAAACAAAGTTAATTTTTGTTAAATAAAGAGTGTGTGTAATATATCTCTTTCTTTAAACCATCATGAGTCAAAACAAACAGAATGAATGTGTAACATGCCTCATTTTTTAAGTGATGATGAGACGAAACAAGCAGTATATTAAGCGCACTTATGTCTAATATACTGTATCTCGCTCTTTAAGTGCCCTTGTTGAACAACAAAGCAAGCACAATAAACGATAAACATATCTCGTTCTTAAATCTTCGATGAGACAGAACCAGGGCAATACATTACGGAATCGCGCCTGTAGATACGCGTCGCTAGTAAATGCAAATTTTTCTGTCAATCAAATGTGTCCTATTATTTATAGGTGGTGTCCTATTATTTATAAATTGGTAAAACATCGTTATTGTTTTGGAAACAATAGAAGAACAAAAGATAACAGAAAGATCAGGTTATGCAGTCTTAAAGCGTGTTGCATGACTTAAATCAGCTGGAGCATTTCTCCTAGCTTTCCCGCATTAAAATGTTGGAATGAAAAGTCTGAAGCTTAGCTTTTAAAATCTTGATAGCCAAAATAAAAGGGGTGCCCCAAAAGGCAAGCATTTGGGAATTCAAAATCGATATTTTTGTCTCCAGCGAAATCTGGCGGATGAACAGTAATTTGCATATAAGCGTAAGTGAAGCGAAATAGAATACAAATTGCCGTGGTTGTAAACACAACGTTTCCTCGAAGTTTTTTTCCTTTTGAAAGCGTAAATTCGCATGAAAGAGCTCAGCTCGCACAAAATAATATAAAATGAAACGAATCAAATCGAAAAGTGGTAAAAAAAAGTCAGGATATTTCAATTCGATGGAAATTAAGTGATTGGGTAGGTGATTTGCATACTGATAAAAATAACTTCTAGCGCAGTTCAAAACCGTTCGGCTTCCTGAATTGTTTTCCTGGAATTCTTTACATTCTGCTGGCCTAAATCGTTAAAATATGTTATGAAGTCAAAATAAAGAATCAATTTGAGCGTTTGTATTTCCTTATAAAACAGAGAGTTGCGCGAAAGCTTCGATCTATAGATTTTCTTAAGTTAAATTACCTTTGTATCATGGAAACAATACCCTAACACTTGAGTCTTGTATCAAAGGACGCGACAAGCGTCGGCTCCCTTTGTGAGTGCGCAAATAGTCATGGGACCCGCGATTTTGCGGGCGACACAGATCTAGAGGCGCCGTTCCGTAATGAAATGTGTAATAGGAATGCTAGGATGTTGTTGAGCATGATAAAATTTTGGGCAACATAACTCAGCATTTCAGGCACCTTGACTAAAAACTTGACATAACGTGAGGCAAGATGTCTTTTGGGGGACTTGACCATACTGTTTATTCACTACAAGGTTAGTGTAGTTTGCATGTGAGCAAGAAAAACTTGTTGGGTGAATATTTTTCATTCTTTAACTTAAGTCTAGAATGTGGCACTATTTTTAACACCCCGAGTGAGTAAACTTGTATCGAAATAACTTGTACCAGCACAACTTTGTATCGAAACAACCAGTAACTCCACATGACAAGCAAATACTAGCTAGTTGTAAATTTATTTGCCAAATTTGAACCCATTATGTATACAATGTGCTTCTCATTAAACAATAGGAATCCCTTCAGGAAATCAAAGCCCTCTCCGAAGCAAACGGTGAGTAGAAGTTTGCTTGTTTAGTACGTCTCTAAAAATAGACCTTTCCACGGTTTTTTTCAAGTTCAAGTTTCAAGTTAGTGAAAATCTACAGGTCAACTCCACTGGAAAGAGCGCCTTTATCAATTATTGATCCTTAAGACATATCACTTTCAAACTTTGTTGGTATACCAATAATAAAGCACTCTCTCTAGTAATATGATATCAATGGATTTTCCCTAACAGGTCCATCTCGAAAGCTGATTAATATTTCAGTAATTGACAGAAACTAATCTCTTCTTTTCAATTTGATTGCATTGGGGCTTAGTTGCTTATGAACTTTTTTGTGCAAATGTGGCATTTATTCAAGGGTGGCACTTAATCAGGGACAGCACTAATGTCTTATTCTAGTAAATACAGTATGCACCCTAGAGAAGACCTTTATTGCTGCTGCTTGAAAGCCCAATATGACACTCTAAAGAGACTTGCAAAGGCAGATAACCATTTTCAGAACTCTGGTGATTTTTGATTGCAATTAAGATGTCTCTCAGACCTCTCTGCTGCCGTCGACTGAGTGTAACAGTGCCTGTTTGTTTCTTATAACCAACCTAAGTGATATTTCTATGAGTAACACTAAACATTTTTTTTCCTGGACACCCTTACAAGTGAGACCAAAATATGAAATTTATACCTGCACCCCTAAACAAGATGAAGAGCATCCCTGTCTTTTTCGTGTGGGAGTTGGCCTTTCTAAGTTGGAGCTGACTCTTTTAATAACATGTTTAATAAACCAATTTGTTTCGATATGCTTTGAATTCATATTTAACTCCAAGGCTTGGGGAAACACTCTAGAGAAGTGTATCACAGTTTATTCATCCCTGAACTTTAAGGTGTTTTTTTCCTTTTATTTCCCTCAATCCCTCTACCCAAGTACATATGTATGGATTTTGTTCTTTTAATAGTTATCCATTGACATGAACTATGCAGTGCGCATGCAAGACAATTTTATAAGGGTGATTTAAAACTAGCTTTCATCAACAGTTTTTTTTCGGCTGAAACTGGTCATTTGTATATTCCAACCAGTGAAAAGTGATTTGGGACAAACTGGTTTGCTCTTAACTAGTCACTCACTAAAATTGCCTGATGAGTGTGGTCACCTTTAGGCCATACTAAACAGAGCTGTGGCAATAAAGCTATGGATAAACTCTGAAGCCTGGAACTATCTTTGAATTGCATTATTGTTCCTGAAAAGTTGAGCACTCTAGAAAAATTATTCTAAACAGTTCAGAAAATATATATTTTAATTTGGATGACTTAGTGGTATGAATTTTTCCATTCAACTTCAGGCTTCTACAGTGTATTGTGAAGGCGCATTATTTGTGGGCGTTCTTTCCTAAATTTGTCAGACATTAAATTTTCAAGCATACTATTGACTGCTTTGGAGTTTAAATTTACTAAAATATGACTAATTTTATAATATTGTCAATTAATGGTGATATGTATTAGGTAACGTGTTGTCTTGTGTCTGCTTACCTTTTCTCTTAACTTTTGTAACAAATTTTGTTAATTATCTGTTTCCATTAGATTAACCTTTTCCAATATACTCCTGAAAGTGCCAAGGCATGTGATTTTACTTAGCAGTTCTGAATATACATACACTACCTGATAATGCATGTGTTAAAACTGTTGTCGGATTTCTCACAATTTACAAACATTTTTTGTTTTATTACATCACAAAATTGGCATTGAAACCAGCTGGTGTAACATATTTTACCCACAGTACCACTCATCAAGACACTGATCTTGTTAATTATTAATCAGAGCCAATTTTCAAGTTCACTAATGCTTTCAATGATATGTTCAGGACACTAAAAGTCTTTAAAGATATTAAGTTCCCAAAATCAGTCAAAAGAGGAGGTATCAAAACAGTAGTTTTGAAATTATTTGGGTTATTTCAATATCAAATACTTGGTTTAAGCAAAAAAAGTACAAGTATATTATGTAAATTCAGTTGTAAACAATTTTGATCAGAGCATCGGAAATTCTACAAGCTGGTGCAACGCAACTTTGTCTTGAATCTGTGGAAAATTTAAAATATAATGTTTAGCTGCATGGGAAAAAGATCAAAAGTAAGAAGAAAATACAACACCCTTTGGGTAAGATTTTTCTTTTCTGTGAGAGCTGAGTTTTTTTCAAGGTCTTGTTTTAATTTGTGTTGATGGGTAGATATTTTTTTATTGTGATTTCTTTCAATGTGAGACACTGTTTAAGGTTGTGTGGCACTGTTTACTTGAAATATATCATAAGAAATATTATAGCAGAATTCTAATTTACCGTTGACTTATTTTTTCCCTGAAATAAAGCACAACTTGGAAAACTGGAGTAGGATAAATCCATGTGATGAATAGGACAATAATTGCACGATGACATCATTTTACTACAACTACCAGAATCCTTCAGTTTGTTGTTTTCTTGTGCAAATTAGGACTATTGTTCTTTAATCCTCAGCGGGATTGACAAATTTCAATAACAAAGCAAAAACGAAATGAATTCTGGTAGTTGTAGTCAAATGTCTTCATCGTGAAAATGGCCTATTTCAACATTAATTGATGTATCAAGGTAACAGACCTGTTTTTGCATCTCAGTGCATCATGTCATCATCACCGATGATTGAGAAATTTCTGGCTTTATGCAGTAGACAAGAAATGTTAGATAATATGCAGCAAATAACACAGTTCATTATAGCAAAGCAGCATTGATCTTGTAAAAGAATTATGTGCAATTAATATCAGTACTCATTTAAACTAATTTTCTACTAGGGTGATAGAGAATTTGAAAGGGAGGTAGCCAGATTTAACCAGTAAGTACACCGTTTAAAATTATGCTATACCAATACTTTAGACTTGCTTTATGGGTACTTTGATTATAAAAATGTTGGTTGACTTTATCAGAAATATTTTTCACATTTCTGCAATCCTTTAAAGTGGCAGAGAAAACACCTCCCAATAGTTTTCTTTAACCTTCATATTTTGGCGATGAGAATCTTTTATCTGTCAGTGGGCCAAAAAACTACGAAAATGATCAATTTGTGCATGTTACTATCAAGAGTGAATTTTAAGACTGAATCTAAATGTTCACTGGTTCTTGTTTATTGTCAGATTTATTGAATGAACACTGGTATATGGTTAAGCCCAAGGTAGTGAAGAGAAACAAAGTAGAGGAAAAGCTTGGCATAACAGTGTATTTTTCTATCAATTTTATTCAGATTGGAAGGAGCAACCAAGAAAATTTATAAAGATACCAAAAAACATGGAGATGCTCTTTCAGGTAAAATAATATTATTATTTTACGTGGTATGCACTCAAGGATCAATGACAAAGACAGGTTTACACACTTTGGTAGTCTTTTGGTCATCAGTGCAAAGTGCCTGTTACTGGCATAAGGTTGCCTATCTAAGAAATTCATCATTCATTTCTCTATAAAATCTATGCACCCCCCAGCACCTTCTAATGGAGTGTTTATTAGTTTGAACCTCTGTGCCCAACCTCTACCCTCTAGAACTTCCAGTTTACATTCATACTTTAGATTCATACAGTTTAGATTCATGCATGTCCTCTTTTCTTCCATAATCCTGGCCCAGTGACCCACCCTTTTTGACGTGTGTATAGAAATATTTTCTGGAACCAGTCATAACAAATATAATAACCTTTGATTCTTTTAGCTCTGTCAAAAGCTGAACTAAAGATTTATCAGGATCTGACGACAAGTCCAGTTTCACAAGATGAGTTGTTCAAGGAACCGGTAATGTCATTGATAATACTATTTATCATACTTATACGTAAGATGTTTTAGTCTACTTTGAGTAATGTTCAGTCACTGACTCTGTCCTGATTTTTAAGATATTACTAAGTTATTAAACATCTGTGAATTCCTCCACACACTTTCTCTTAAAATAGGTGTTGTAACACACCAATTTTTTAAATCCTGGCACTACTTATTTTAAATTACATGTTAAGATTCTTGGTCAACTCATGAAGCTTTAAGAGCCAATCTTGTTTATTGTTATGTTAATCAATCTGATTATTTTCCTTTGATATGTTACTAACAGTTGCAAGAATGCACTGCATGTGCTGAGAAGCTTGATGAGCTAAGGCAGGAACTGGTACGTTGGTTAATTGTATTGGAGGTCATCCCTTTGTTGGCTTCTTCTTGAACAGCAAAAGTGAAGCTTAAATAGAATTTCAGATCAGACAAAAGCCAGCCAGCTAAATAAGGGTGCAAAAGCTCTTGGCCGAGTTGTTCAAAGCTGGGTTAAGATAACCAAGGGTTAGTGCAAGATTTGAATTCGGATTTGAAAGCTTAAAAAGCATTTCAGTTTAAATTCTTTTTGTCTACAAGTTGATAATTGGAAGCTCTAAAAATAACAGAGAAAATTATCAGAGAAAATGCTTTTGAACACAAGAAAAAGAAACCAGGGTTAAATTTAACCCCCCATTAAGCGCTAATCAGCCTTCGAACAAGTGGGCCCTGGGGCTAAAATCATCCAGGAAAATGCTGAATACAAAGAGTGATCCGCCCTGTGAAGGGGAGAGAATTGGATTTAAGGTTCAATAGACCCTTCCGCAATTTTCTTCAATGTTTGGCTGGGACCAATTAGTGAAAATCCATCTACACAGCTGTAAAGAATGCGTTAAAATTAGGAAAGTTGTCTGGTGTGAAACTGACTTGTTGAAAAGTAATGAAGATGTAGCTGCGTTAATTCACAGAATTTTACTGATGTTTGTATAGTGGGGGGCACGAACTTGCCCACATCCATACAAATGTTGGTAAAATTTAGTGACTTTGAGGAGCAAATTTTATATCTTCACTCTCTTGGACCTATTAAACATGGTAATTTTACTGATATGAGACCCTCTTTCCAGCCATGTCAATGGATATTCACTAACTGGTCTATGATTTCCATCTTTCCCTGTGTGTATCAGTAATCTCTAGGGGAGAAAGCACAGTATACATTTCCTGCGCCCAGAAATTATGACAAACTCTCTTTTTAACTTTGTGGAGAATATCCCAAGCATGATTCTTGTTTTCTTCTTGTTCTTTTTTCCAGGCAACTAGAAACCAAAAGACTGTCACGGAACCGATGAAAAAGTAAAAGTTTTGTGTTCTTTGTTAGGATTTATTTCAGATGTTGTCGGTCATTCAATTTTATCCTTGGCTTTATTTCCAATGCTTTTTGGCCTGTGTGTATGCTAACATAGTGTGTCCTAACTAGTTTGAAGATCGTAGATAAACAGTTGTTCCTTGGGTTGTCCACACTTAATTGATTAAACATGCATTTTTGTTATAATCCAGGTTTAGTGGTGTGTTTCCCAGTGTGAATGCAGCAATAAAAAGAAGAGACCAAGCACTGCAGGTATAAGTAGCCCGGTTTGAAAAAGGTGAAGTTATAGCTGAATAAAGTGTGGCCTGTTAATACAAAATTTAAAGTTTGAAATTGAAATTCAAACAAATGGTCGATCAATGTCCTGTAACTGTAAGCTACAAAGTTATTGGCTTTCATTTCTGCTGGGAGGGATATATTCAAATAAATATTTACAAAAAAAACATAATTCGGTTACATCCTTACAGGAACACTTTATTTTTTCATTGGTTGTTTTTTTCCTATGAATGAACAAACAACGGTTGTTGTATTTATTTTAAAGCACACCAGTGTTTTTAAAAATGATACACAGCCTATATTCTGTGAAAAATGTCAAGTAAGATAACATAGCGTTTAAGGAAATTTATTTGTGGGAAAAAGTTTGCAAAAGTCCTGTGTCAAATTCTCTTTTTTATAAGGATTACCAGAAATACCAAGCTAAAGTGTTGAAGTTGCAAGAAAGGGAGAAAACGCCTCAAAATCAGGCCAAATTAGATGCGGTGAGAAACGACATCCTTTACCTACATACATCATAGTCTAAGAATTACTACAGTGATATTGTTCGAGCCTTCAGAAGTAATTCATCACTTTATTGCGACAATACTGTTTCGTGTGATCAAAACTGACACACTCATCAGGCAATACAACGTGGTTGATCTTACGAAACAGTATCCTCCCAAAAAAGCTATGATTTAATACTTCTGAATTCTATCGCAGATCACAGCTGGTCACTGTGCTACGGTAAATAGACAACACTGAAAGTGTCTCCTAGTCCTAATGACAATCCGAAAAAGAGTTTTAAGGGGAAACTGTCTCTCTCAGTTATTTATCAATAGAGCAGTGACCTGCACTTGTAACCTATGTCCTGTGTTTTGTACCAACAGTTTCTGTACTGTAACATTAGGGCCATTTATACGAGGAAAAATAAGACGCGAACTGGACCATTTATACGAGCATGTGTTCTCTAAGTCTTCTGTACACTTAAACTTACTGTTAAAGTGTAAGTTTATAATACGAATATAGCAATTTGATATAAATTGTGATAGTTAAAATGGTCTACTTACACCAGCAGATGTCACGCATTTGTCCAGGAGGTTTGTTATCGCCTTCTCTTTACATAATAACAAAAAATCTTTTTCCTCCGGGATGGACCAAGTGTCTCTTTTTACCTTTAATGGCGTGCTCATTGAGCGAACAAAAAAATAAAGCAGAAAAGACAAGGAAACGAAAATGCGTTGTAATTTGTAAACAATTTTTCCCCGCCAGCCTGCCAGTGGCCTGCCAGTCCACCGAGGGGCAAGCGATAATTTTCCCGCCAAAAATTAACGCATGCGTACTACGCTAAGACGTGTCTTATAAGTCTTATGCACCTATCAATGTAAAGCCGGCGGGGGGGGAGGCAGGGCATGGGGTGGGGATTTGATTGTCTCTGTTGTCCCTGGGGTAGGGCATTTGATTGATCTTGTTCTCCCGGGGGAGGGGATATTTGAATCTTTCTTCGCCCGACGTGGAGATATTTGACTGCCGACTCGGACGAAAAAGACTGAGACCGAACATATGTTTCCCGCTTCCACGCTTCACGCATGCGCCGTACGGTTTGAGAAAGATCAGGAATTCGTGGAGGCCAATGAGAACAAGCGAAGGCTGAGTGGATTTCACTGTTTTGTCTTCAAATTTCGTTTGTTTTAGCGTGTTTTTGATCAATTGAACCTCTTAATATACTGTGGTATCAAAGTAAACGGAAGTAAAGAGAAACCAAGTCAATTTTTGCAAGTACAATTGATTAGTGTATGGCTCATTCGCTACAATCACTGAAAACTTATAAAAGTGACTTTCTTTGTACCCTTTACTAAGAACTTTCTCCTAAAGGTTTATGCATTCTACGCAGAGTAACACGGATTATGGTTAAAACGTATAATTGCAGCTGTAACAGGAACAGGTATCTTTTGTGATGCAGAACGTTTATAAAAGATTGCAGAGTTTTATTTGGAGATATTTTTATTGTACCTTTCTTAGGTTCTGCCTTGGGATTGACAGCAATGTGCAGCCTGGGGTGGGGAAATTTGGTTGCATTTGACTGGAATGATTTGCCCGTGGGCAGGGAATTTGATTGCAAATTTTTGAAAAAAGTCAAATCCCCACCCTATGCCATGCCTCCCCCCCCCGCCGGCATTACATTGATAGGTGCATTATCTAAGGCTGTTCTAAAATAAGACAGGCAGACGTGTCTTAGCTAAGTCGCGTCTTATTTTAGACGATATGTGCCGTTTATATGGAAAGTTCGCGTCTTATATTTTTCCTCGTATGAATGGCCCTATTGTCTGCTCCTGTAAAGTTGCGCACTGTGGGAAATTGGTCTTTTACTGAATTAAGTAACAATCAGAATTAATCTATGAATAAAGTTTTACAAAACAAGCGTGAAGAAATTCCAATGCAATATATGTGACCTTAACGACTGATTTTTGTTGTTGTTGCTTCTGTAGACCAACCAAGCGCTGGCGGCAGCAAAACAGGATTATGAAAAACAGAACTCGGTCATGCTGGCGGTAGGTCAACTCTCTAAAGAATGTCTCCACGCTAAAATATTCCCGCGAATTTGGCAATTTTATTCTTCTAATTTATATTTAAATGGTTTAGCTCATCCTTGTGGTGTTTTAAGCTGAAGTTTGATCGTGGCCTTTTCTTGTTTGCGCTCACTATTAAAGTTCCATACCTTTCCCACGGAAGCTACTTTTATCTAAGACCCCTCCCACCCCTTTGGAGTTAATTCACCTTTTTTTACCTTTTAATTTCACCTTCCATACCCCTTTCTCCCTTGAACCTTAAAGAATTTCCAATCATTTCTGTGGTGGGTATAGAGATTTTCTCCCCTCCCTTCGCCGCCGGTCCACCAAACAGGCGTATAAATGGCTTGCCGAGAGTACATCTAGTATCCATGAGGAAATAGCGGGCGCTATTTCCTTTCACTAAACGATGCAAAGAGAGTTGGTACGAGACTGAAATAAGTTATGCGCAAGATACATCTCTAGCCGGATTTTGGAAAGCGTTACCGCCAATTAAAACCTCTTTCGCTAAGGAGTTTTTTTTTTTCACCCAAAGTAGTGCAAACGTCACTTTTTCCCCCTTCTCCTCCTTTCTTTCTCCTTGCTCTTTCTTTTTATTCTTTCCCGTTGCATTTGCTAGTGTGATATTCGCGCTTATCAGGCGAAATAAATCCTGCCTTTTGGGCCTTCTCCATCAAATGGCTGCAAATTTCGTAGTTTGCCTAATATTATATATTTTTTCTTTTCTTATCTGTTGCAGGACTTGCCTCAGCTAATAGAGGGTAGAATAGACTATTTTGAACCTTCGTTTGAAGCTATGATCAGATCTGGGGTAAGTTTCGTTTTTTTACGAACCTGGCAGGTGCTATCTCAGTCATGGTTGCTATACATTCCACAAGAGGTTAACACACAGGGACGACCTAAACGGATTTATGTCGTTCACGGAAAGACAACAGCACTGGTGTGGACGCATAGCCTTGAGACGTGGCTAGTGCCTAGACGTGCTTTATTGAAGTCGACACCACGAGTTTCACAGCAGAAAAACTGTAAAGCGCGCGGTGACGACGAGTCGATGAGAGGTAAACGCGGGAAAAGCATGCAAGCACGTGACATTTCGTATTGAATTTCTACTGCTGATTGATTGAAAAAGTGGAGTAAGCGTCTTAGTTGAGTAATCACATGTTGGCAAAGAAAAGCAGGGCAAATACCTGCCAATTACCAAACCAAACGCTTTCGGCATCCACACCTTCAAGAAGAGATTTCTTCGGCCAGAATTTAATGAAAAGATTTTTTTCTGTTTGTTCACAGGCCAGTTATTACAGTAAAGCATCAGAAGCCCTTTCAGACCTCACAAACAAACTCGGCTGGAAAAAAGAACTTTCGGACGAGGATTCTCAACAACAGCTCCAGCAAAAACTGGCAGATTTAAAGGCACTTTCAATTGTGGAAGATGGCTGACCTGTAATAGCGGAGCATTAGATCAGACTGTTCACCAGACTATGTCCGGCTCGGCTTGTTCTGCTATGAAGAGGACCGTTATAGGAGGGTCCTTTTCTCACCTTTAATCGTTACGGAACATCTAACAAAAAATTCACCTGGGGGGGGGACTCCGCGTATGAAAGGGGTGGGGATGCTCGTCGTCTCGCTTAGGGGTGTAAGTTTCGCATTTTGGTCTCACTTAGGGTGTTCTGCGCAAAACGCCATCATATTTAGCCGTGAAGGTCTTGTTTAGGGTTGCACGCGGCTGATAATAGGGAGCCTTAGCAACGACGACGGCGACGGCAGCGAGGACGTCAAAAAAGCAGTAGGTTTATTACGCAAAACAACAAGTTTGCACGTGCATCACGCTTTTTTGTACATTTCTTTACCGTCCTTGCACGACTACGACGTGAAAATGCCTAATTACAGGTTTTATGGAGGACGTAAACAAGCGACGACGAATCCCTTTTTCTCTCTCTAAACTTGAGTGCGGTCCTCAAGAAATCAACTCCGGGGAAATTCGCTTACACTTGCCATTTTCAGCAAATTGGAATAAACGCGACAAAGATTGAAAACACGGGAATTCATTTTAAAACTGACGTTTTCGCTGCCGTTGCCGTCGTCGATGCTAAAGGTCCCTATTGTCTATGTTTTAACATGGTCTCTTTTAGGGGTCAAAAAAAGCTTGGGCCACGCCCAGATCGGTCTCCTTTAGGGGGTTAATTCAAAATTTCCGACGAGCACCCCCACCCTTTTCATATGCGGAGTCCCCCCCCCCGGGCAAAATCATAGCTTCGTGACCGAGAAATGTGTATCCTGAGCGTTCCTGTATTAAAATGTACAAACATCAGATATAAACTTGAACAATCTGTTACGTTGAGAAGTTTTTAAAGAATTTAAAACCCTGGTTCGTATAATTTTAGGTGATGTTCACACTATTGGAGGCCTGTGTGGCCGAGCGGTTAACACTAATGGTCTAATGGTCTCTATTTGTAACCACGCTACGGAGAAATTTTGCTACCGAGCAAAATGAAATAGACTGACTAGACCGCGCTTTTGGCCTGCAGAAGGCGTGACGGAGACGAACTTTTTCCGTATCAATTTTATTTATTAATGGTCAATCACAATGTTTTGAAAATGTTTAATGAATAACACAACATTGAGCCCTTTCCTTGTAAAGCTTTGTCAAATTACTCTAATAATAAACTAGTATTGAACTGATTTAGCAAAGATTTGGCAGGATATGCGCCCGCACGTCTTACATTTTACGGGCGCAATTGTCAGTTTGTTGTCGAAGCCGCGAGAAGAATTGGGTTTGAGGCATGGAGCATCGCTATTCGCGGGGACAGAAGTATTCCCGCACTGACATCTCCAGCTACACATCTACCCAACTGTACTTCATTTCTTATTGACACGGCGGTGTAAATAGTATTATACTACTACGTGAGAAATTTCTGCAATTTGATTGGCTTAGAGCAGTGGTATTTCAGCTTAATTTGAAATACCTACGTGTGAAAATTACAAACCTTTTGCGGGTGGTAGTATAAACAAATAATAGCATGATTTGTACGTGATATTTGGCATAAATACCACTCGTGATATTTCAAAATTGTCTCAAATTTCACTCTATGAGGCGTATAACAATTTCGAAATATCACTAGTGGTATTTATGCCAAATATCACTACAAATCATGCTATTACCTATACAAATACAACTATTAAATACTAAAATACAGTCGAACCTCGCTTTACAGACACCTCGTTATTTCGGGCAGTTTTCCCCGCCCCTGGGAAAAGTGAGCCCTCACGTTTCCTTTAATGTCAACCAAGAGCCATAATAGCTCATTATGGCTGTTGCTTCAACCCGCTTTATACGGACATCCCCTTAATACGGACACTTTCTATGGTCCCCTCAGTGTCGTATGAGGCTGATTTAGCAACAGAACGGGAATGTCATTTGACGACGGCGCGCGCAAATCAATCAACTGCCTTGACCAATGGCAGAGCGAGAAATTGGCGACCGGAAGTCGAGTTTACTCCTTTTCGCGCGCTTTCCCGTCGTCAAATGACGTTCCCGTTCTGTCGCTAAATCAGCCGATTAACTGGGTTTGATTGTACAACTGTTAAATACGTCTAATATATTACAAAATCTTTTGATCCGTTCTTTACTTAGGGCCATTTATACGAGGAAAAATAAGACGCGAACTTTCCGTATAAACGGCACATTTCGTCTAAAATAAGACGCGGCTTAGCTAAGACGCGTCTTATTAGATAAGACATGCTCGTATAAATGGTACAGTTCGCGTCTTATGTAAGACGCGTCTTATTTTTCCTCGTATAAATGGGCCTGTTGTTTTGTAAATAAGATTATTTATGGACTCAGCCACAGCTACAATTCACGACAACTCTGGCATGGCGTGTACCCTTGGTCCCGGATGATTTCAGCAGCGAGATGATTTTGTAAACTGGTTTGCACTTGGGAAAGCCGAACTTGGTAATGCTGTGCAAACAGGCGAATGAATGTTTCTTGCATTCCGCGACTAGTACATCCCCATTTGCGCCTGGATGGCGACTCCACCGTTTAACACAGCCGTTGATAGCTGGCTCTGTTGCGTTACGTCTGATCCTGAAAGTCGTTGCTGGGATGACGGCCATGGAGAACACCATGAGTAAAACAACCATTGCTGTTACAAACTGAAAAAAAATAAATAAAGGCTGTCACAAATTACGTTTTCAAGCGGAAGTTTTTAAGCGATAATTGATGATCGTCTTATCCTTTTAGTCCGACACTTAAAACGTTTTTTCGGAGACGTTTGTGTAAAGAACAATTAAACGACAATTTCTTTAAGAGTTACGGGTAGCCCACGTTGCACGGAAGCGCTTAGTACGTAGTCTAAGTAAGGGGTTTCTGATCATATTCCATCCCAGGATTTGGCAGATGTTGTCGAGAGAGTATATTGTACAGCCACATGTACAATCTACGATAACTCCGGCGTGGCTTATGCCCTCGGTCCCGGTGGATTTCAGTAGCCGTCAGTAACATTCTCCCGTTATTCTTCGTTCCTTTCTTCAAATATATCATCCAGGATTGTTTTCAACAACTATGCCCTGACTCGATGCGTTTGATATCTTGCCAAGGTCACTAATGATTAGGAGCGACACACTTCCTTTCAAATTTCAACTATTTTTACGGACGCGGAACTTTGAAGTACAACCTTCATTCCTCGTAATCTTGTAGGATAATTTCAAAGTCATTGCAGAATTTGGTTAAAACGGAGCTTTGACGCTAATTTTCCTTGTTACCTGACGAATGTATGGTAGAGCGGTGAACCGCTTGGTTTGATGATGATAACAACACGCATATAACAGGGATTAATACCCTATTTGATTTCCTGTTGAAAACATTTATTCCATATATGTTTGGCCCGATGTTTAAATAATTGGACGCAGTTGATGTTGATGTTGATGTTGATTCCCCACCCTGAGTCTGCCAAACCTGCAAACGGTCCATCTCATTGGAACGTCACTGACATACCTTCATCATCAGTTAGTTGTTTCTTGCTCAGTTATATTTCTGATCGAGCTTATAAGTGAAGTGTGGGGCAGTAGGTTCCTATGAAAACAGGAAAAAACATTTAGCGTGGATTACATACATCACCATTTCTGTCTCTGCATTTCGATCGAGTTCACTAGTTTAAATCTTCTCAGCAATTCAAAGAAGTGTAGGAATTTTGCAACCCATAGCGACGAAGCAATTAGTACAAAATTAGACTTTGAGACTTGACACGGGGACATGCATGTAGAAGGTGAATTACCCGGGGTAAATTACAAATGACTCAAACGCTTACCATATCATGCAACCAAGAATTGACATTGAAGCTTTATAAACTATAATGCTTTGATATTGTTATTTACTATCCACTTCTCCCATGTTCGCCTTACTTTACTTTCATTTAACCTTACTTTAATCTAATTTTATTATTATTATGATTTTATTTTATTATATATTTCCTTTAGCTTGTTTAGTTGTGATTGCACTTTTTTCCTATTATTTACAGGAACTCGCTTTATTATTCCTTATTCAAACATTTTAGAACTAGTGGCTAACAAGATAACATTATAGTTTACTTGGCCTCTAGACACCAAAAATCATATTAGTAGTAATAAATAGTAATAGTAAAACAAAAAATGGTACTACTAATAATGTGTGTGAATTGTTTAAATAAAGTGTTATGTTTTGTTATGTTATGGCTTGCTAGTCGTCGCTGGTCGTTGGTCAGGTATTCATGTAGTGGAATAGTAGAGAGTCTAAAGACATATCATTTGAAAATAGCTGATTTTTCGCAAGGCCCCTGCTGATTCCGGCCCTGCGAAATGACGGGGCAACCCGGAAGACAGTGGTGACGTCGTGAAATATTAGCTGTTTTTTTCCTCGAAGGTTTCAAGTCTCGTATATGTAGCAAATGTATATGTTAGCAAGATGAACGATATTGAAAGATTTAGTTCGCATTACGCCAGAAAGCCACAAACTTCACTTTGAAAACATAAAATACAGACGTAATATTACTGTTTACAGCATTGTACATGATTGTGATTTCACGCGAATGTTACTGTCTACTTCCCGTCGGTTCACCGATATCAAGCTCTCTTAATGTTGACAGTTTACAGGAGAGTATATATGTCATGGCTATTTCCTTCACATCAAAGCCGAAATAAACGTAACAAATTTCAGTTCAAGGCCGGCGTTCCAAGGTCTTCGAAACGTAGACCGAATACTTATCATAAAAACCTACAGCCTAAATCAGGGGCACCGAACAACGCGGGTGTCCTCTTGAATACATCGACAATACTTCTAAGGCTATCTAAAGTACTTTTAGATCACTGGAAGTTCATTCTAAGCGGCGCTATGAAGTTTGTGGGTGTGTTCCTTTCGGCGAATCCAAAAACGGATTTTTGATCCTAGATTTGCCAGATTTCGCGGTCGAAAGGAACGTGAAATCCGAAATTGGATTTGCAACCTTGGTAACCTTTCGCCAACGCGTGCAATATGCACGACAGCCTCTCAAAAAATGACGTGTTTTCGACTCTTTGACAAATTATGCGATTATACCGTACAGAATTTAGTGGTCGGCAGTTCGAATAGCGAAGATGGAACATATAAAACAGACAAAGAAGGAAGCGCATTAAAATTGAAAATTATCTAAAGAATGTCGGCCAGTTTGATCCAATTCCATAGCTCGGATTTTTTTATGTAACACGATCGAGTGCCTGTCGCGTCTACAAGCGAGTTTGTAGTTAGATTGCAGTCCATTTGTTACTTTTACTTATTTCTGATTTCAAGCAATCTTTAGAGACAAATGGTTAGTATATGGATATTTTCATGTACCAGGAACAATCTTCTAGTGTTTTCAGATGTTTTGCGACAAATGACAGCAACGAGGAAACTCTACGGCCTCTACGGGAATACTTCAACTGGAAATACCGCGGGATCATCTGACTAATTTCGGATCCACTGTGAATGGAACAGCGTAGATCACTAATCCGTTAATCTGGATTTGGATTCTTCGGATTTCAAATCCAATGAATCCTTTTTCAAAAAGGATTCACCAGATCAAAAATCCGGATTTGGATTTGCCGAAAGGAACGCGAAATCCGTTCTTAGATCTAAAATCCGTTTTTGGATTCACCGAACGGAACACACCCTATATCTGTTCGGTCATGCTAGGGCAACTTGAGTCCCATCGAAATTACAAGCTATTCAGTATTGGTTTCCCCAAAAATTTTTAAGTAATTGATAGCTTTACACGGAAGTTTAGTGTTTTTCTGACTCCCCTCTCCATCCAATTTTCTAATCCGAAAATTTTACTGAGGTTTCCTTTTTTTTCCAAAAATCTGAAATATAGCTAAACGTGGGGAGTGAAATGAGGAAAATTAAGCTTCAGAAAATCGTAGGGCATTGTTACTTAAGCTTCGAAAATCGTACATTAATGGAACGGTCCTCTAGGAATTTTTACCCGTCCTCGAGCTATAGAAAATTCTAGACAAGATTTACGCTTTCGAACGGGATATTTTACAGAAAGCAGTCGTTGAGGCTCTCTGCTAAATGCCCCTCCACACCGGCGGGGTATCCGAGGTCCTTCATTTGGCCGTTAAGTGTCATCAGAGATCTGAAGGGTGGGTGTCGACTTTCCAGACTACCCGGGAAAAATATTTCATTCGTTTAGAAAATAAATTGTTTTTGACTAATTTGCTTTCGTCTAGTAATCTGCGACCTAGAGTTTTGGCAAATAAATAAGGCCGAACAGAGACGCATTTCAAGTTGTTTTTAAGATAGATCATTCACGTTATTAACCTGTACATGTTATAATTAGTTTACTTAAAGTCACTATTGCGCTAACAATGGTTGAGGATAAAACTGAAGTTTACTTAGCATGCTGTTCTCCGCTTTTAGTTATTCCGTTATAATACTGTTTCACGTTGTTCTACCTTTTTGAGTCCTTTACTGAACTCCTGAATTTTGAATGCTTTAATGTTTTCGTATACAGTACTTAACTTCTGACAGTTAATCCCGACTCTTGTAGATGAAATATCTAACTTCGACCACTCATCAGACGTATCTGTCCATTGCATGCATGTACCGGTACGCGCTTTAGTTATGTTGTTTTCGCCAGCTTAAATTAGTTTTATCCTTTACTTTGGGAATCAACGGAATTTTAGTCATAAATGTGAGCATGTTGTTGAAATCCTTCTCTCCTGCGATCACGTAGTACCTTTCTCATATGTTAACTGGGTTCGATCACTTCCTTCGGTAATTCAGTTAAGAGCCCTGTCCATTGGTTTTGTGGCTGCCCTCGGCTCGTAAATTAGCCAGGCTATTGCAACAAAAAATTGGCAGTATTGTATTGGAGCATGTAACTTTTTCAATTAATATTACGCCAGCTTGAGACGTCTTTATAATGAGAACTGAGTGCCCAGATACGTGTGAAAACAAGGTGCTATCGTAATCCTCTAGTGATTGTACCCAGAGTAATTATCCTAAATTACTGAACGATAAACGCACTTATAAAGTGCTTGCCTGTGTTATGAAGGCTAGATTTTATGTGGTGTTGTTTATCATGCTGTCCGTAAGCATGTCTGGTGGTAGACAGGATCCTTTCAAAGACGATCATCCTTGTTTGAATATTTTGTATGATCCTACCACACGCTAAATTTCAGTCGCGAGTTGTGGCTATTCCTTAGTAAGATAATCAATTGATGGTATAAAAAACTTTAACAGTGCTTCAAACTGGTTAGAGAATGAGCCTTCTTGTTCTTTTTACCCAGTGACGTTTCTAAAGAATTCATAGTGATGAAAAAGACCTAAACACTGAATCGATTAAAGCCCAAAGGCGTACTTACCAAAATCAAGAAACTTCCGAGTCGGCGTTGTTATAAAGAAGTGCAACTCGTCTCTAAAGCTGATGAAGATCGATCTAGACAGGAGAACGTTGAGATCTATTAGATTGTTGTAGTGAAGTCATTCAACTTCTGGTCTCACCGATTAATGGACATGAGCAGCTGGCATACTTTTTGTGATCATGTAACGCCCCGTTTTAAAGCGGCTGGCGGATGACTACTTGAGTTTCACAAATTCCTTGGCGGAGACCATTGAAGGCAATGCAAACAGCTGCGAACATCACTTGGAGTTCTACATGAAGGAACCTTGAAGGATTTTACTAAGAGCAACTCGTTTTTTTATTACTGATGCATCCTAAATTCCCAATGAAGTCCATGCAACGACAAGCGCAGGAGCTTGCAAGGCTTGCAAGAACACTGTATTCATAACCTTTGCATCATTGTTGTACTGTTAAAACTACTTTGTCACGTTGGTCGGACTTTTGAAAAAAGAATTTACTTATATAATCAAATGAACAGAGCAGTATTGAAGAGGAAATTAACCATTTTACCCTCCCATATCTTACTGCGGTAAAACACGCAGAAGCGTTTACTTAACTTTGCGTCTCAAAGGAGAACGTGCGTAAGCACTAATTGCGCCTTGCCTCGAAGTTGCGCTTCGTAGATGATGGTTCAGATCTTATAACAGTGAACCAAGTATCAAGGAATTGAACTACCTTAAAGCTTTTGGGACACTTTGTCTCTTTTGTCTCCACGTCCAACTGCAGGTAGAATTTAGCGTCTGAAAGTCCTATATTTCTTATCTCTTCCTCTGACTGATAAAACGCAGAATCAATTATCGAATTTCTTGCCGGAATACATTATATTGATCCCAGCGGGGGTATAATGTGTATGGGGAGGCTCTAACCGAAAGAAAGGGGTGAAAATATTATTGAAAAGTGAGATTGAAAAGGGGACAAAAGTTTTTTCTTTTCCTCGTGTTTGCGCTAAAACGCGCGCTCGAAAAGCTCAAAATTCAAAGCTCAATTTTGTTTAATTTCTTCACGGTCGCATTCCAGCCGGGATTGGATTTGAAAGGTTCACACTTCACCTCAGACGCATCGTGTACTCGGAATCAGTGTTCATAAACAACCAATCAGATCACAGATTTAAAACGTGCAAGCTTTTCAGAAAACAAAATCTAACGGTCGCGGCCATCAAGTAGTAAGTATTTAGAATTGCTGAATTTTAAGCCCCAGTACTTTCCCTCTTGAGATAATTGTTAAATTTAAATATCAGTGTGCGTGTGTGTCATTATCGCCCCCTTACTGCCCTAAAAGCAGTAGAGCGTTTTCACATGACGTTT